TACTGAAAACGGACAAAAACATTGAAAATGGTAAAAATATTGAAAACGGCAAAAACATTGAAAATGGTAAAAATATTGAAAACGGCAAAAACACAGAAAATGGTAAAAATATTGAAAACAACAAAAACATTGAAAATGGTAAAAATATTGAAAACGGCAAAAACACAGAAAATGGTAAAAATATTGAAAACAACAAAAACATTGAAAATGGTAAAAACACTGAAAAATGGTAAAAATATTGAAAACGGCAAAAACATTGAAAAAGGGAAAAATACTGAAAACGGCAAAAACATTGAAAATGGTAAAAATATTGAAAACGGCAAGAATACATTGAAAACAGCAAAAACATTGAAAATGGTAAAAATATTGAAAACGGTAAAAACATTGAAAATGGTAAAAATATTGAAAACAACAAAAACATTGAAAATGGTAAAATATTGAAAACAACAAAAACATCGAAAATGGTAAAAACATTGAAACTACATGGTATGTTATATAATTAAGAAAACCCTACTTATGATGTATAAGGTAACTATTAATAGAATAATCTTATTATACCAAATATTGGTTTCAATTAAAAGGATTCGAAGATCAAATAGAATAAGACACTCAGAAATAAAACGCCAAATCTAAGGTGATCATTTACCAAAATTAAAACACAGAATGCTTGCTGTTATTTTAGATTTTGATAATTATAAATCTATTACATGTGTCTACTTTATATATTTTGTATAGTTTACTTTTGAACAAAGGATATTTGTTTTAACAACGACCTAACAGGAAGGGGTATTTGATCTTTAGCCAAATTGCAGCGGCCCGGCATGGCCAGGTGGTTAGTGTGCTCGTCTTGCAATCTGAGGTCGCGGGTTGGAATCCCCGTCCCACCAAACATGCTCGCCCCTTTCAGTCGTGTGGGCGTTATAATGGGACGATCAATCCCACTATTTGTTGGTAAAAGAGTATCCCAAGAGTTGGCGGTGGGTGGTGATGTCTAGCTGCCTTCCCTCTAGTCTTACACTGCTAAATTAGGGACGGGTAGCGCAGATAGCCATCGTGTAGCTTTGCGCGAAATTCAAAAACAAACAAACCAAATTGCAGCACCCAGTGTCGCCCTCTAGTGTTCAGAGACGTATCCACAAACAAGTCGATATCAGCTTATATCGTCTGTCTGTGTGACGTAAGCACGACTTCTTTCCACTGCCAGTCCTCATCTGCGTAAAGAATCGTAATTCACTTACAAATGGAAAACAATTTTTTCACTAAATAACCGCTTTATTGGAGTTCCAATGGCTGAACATAGATTTTGCAGCTTTAGATAAAACTTGACGATTTCTAACCCTTTAGAAACTCGATTAATCTATCCAGGATAACGAACTTCATACAAATCTGAAAGTGTTGGGATGTGGTAATGTTTATGTGTTAGTAAATTGTCTCTTCATAATAAACCACGATTAGTATATCCCCTCACAGGCGCCCAAGATAATTCCATTTTTATATTTTATAAAAAGCGTTTGAAATATAATATTTTTAACTTCTAACTTTCAAACTGTACAAAATATTAAAAATACAAAGTGTCTTAACTGTAGAAAATATTATACACACACAAACGGGTTTTAGGTTGTAAAATATGTCCTAAATACGAATATTTTTAACTTCTAACTTTCAAACTGTACAAAATATTAAAAATACAAAGTATCTAAACAGTAGAAAATATTATACACACACGGGTTTTAGGTTGTAAAAAATGTCCTAAATACGAATATTTTAACTAATACAAAATATTCTTTTAAACAGTGCAAAATTTAAAAAATACACAGTTTTTAAGAACTGAAAATGGTTCAAACAACTTTTCGTCTTTTTTTTTTTTAATATTTTCAACTGAATATTTGCTTAGTAACTAACGTAATTAACCCATAACGATACATCAGGTTTAAAGCTATGGCGTAAATGTTCAGACACCAACAAACGCAGAGCTAAGAAAATTAAATAGAAAGTTGTTATTTATATTTATACAATACTTCAATTTAAATTTCGTGGATTAGGAATTAAAAACCACAACGAAACAAAAACAGGAACATTTTCGATTTGGGTTAATTACCAGACTAGTCTTAGAAAAAGTATATCGCCTAGATTTGTTTTGTATTATTCTTGTATTATCGAATAACGTTTAGTAAGAGGCAGAAATTTTGATATAAAAAACATTGAACTGAGTCGAGAATCGAAACCTCGCGGTTACGTTTAACATCTTCTAAAAATAACGAGTGAGTTTTTATATATATTATTAACACAACTAACGTGCACAGACTTTGTAAGAAGCTATTTTACAAATAACTTACTCAGACTTTGTAAAAAGCTAATTTAGTAA